GAGGTGGACGAGAGTAGAGGGGGAATCCTGAGGGCGATGCAGAAATTGCCGGCATTGGTGAAGTATGGAAGCGAGCATAATAATGAGAATAATGAAGTGCTCTTTTGTTGGACCAAAAAAAAAAATGAAGTGCTCTTTTGACCGAAGCATATGGGTGTTTGGCTCTTTTGATATTTTTATTTTATTATCTCATAAATAAACTATTTTTATTTTATCATAATAATTTTAGATATTTTTTAACAATTATCACATTAAAAATATCAAACACTACTATTCAATAAAGTATATGTCCTTTTCAGTCATTTTACAATTGAACTAACTTTTCTATTCATCCAAACAACTTTTAATTTTTTCAACTGACTTTTTAAAAGCACCTATCCAAACATACCATAACTGACTTTTACTCTAATTTTAGTTACAAAAGTCAGTTGGATTAGAAGTTAGTTTTGCCCAACGCCAATCCAAACATAGCCTGTATCCTTTCACTAAATTCAATCCTTAGTGATTTCTCTCTCTCTTTTTTGGTTTAAGCTCCACTAATTTAAAGTTTTCGACTCTCGAGGCTTATAAGTTCGAGCTGGATTCCAATATGATCTAGATCGGTATGCTTTTCTTCCCCCTCTGTATTTTCTAACACATAAAATATCTTAACTTTTTTCTCTAGCCCGCATATAAAGTATCTTAACTATATTATATCTCATAGCTTTAGTGATGTACGTTTATCTGATTATTCTGTTATTTTTCAAAATAGAGTTATTTTTATATGATAATCAATTTTTAATTTGATCTGCACTCATCTATATATCACTTGACACCATTTAACCCTTCTTGACTAGCTCCTTTGCTCGGTATATTTTCGAATTCTCTTCATCTTTATCCACAGTTGTATTCTTATAAATTGTCTTTGCTTTATCTCTATCATTTTCCTCAGTTATTTCACTTCTAAATAACAATATCTAAATTACTAAATATATTGTCTATTGAATCTAACCTGTTAGTAGGGGTGGAAACAGACCAGGCCTCACCCTTAACAGGCCTGGCCTGTGGTGAGGCCTGTTGGCCTGCGGCTTGTGAAAGGCCTTTTTAATTGGCCTGAGCCTGACTTGGCCTTTTAACAAATTTTAAACACACATAAATCAATTCAAAATTACAATAATTCAACCTAATTGATCTAAAATACAAAAAAAAATTATCAAATTAACACAATTTGTAAAACATGTCCCCTTAGGTCAAAAAAAATCTAATATGAAAAATTATTAAAAAACATAATTTCACTCTGATATAAAAATATCACTTCATCCCATCTCTAGTATAAAAATTAGTTGATGACTAGATCTAGTTTAAAATATGAAACATTCTTAATCCCTTTTATATTTTAAATTTATCATTTATTCAAACTAATTTACTAATAAAATAATATTTGATTCTGTTGTTACACATGGTTGTTTTAAAAAAAATGTTACAATTATTATAGTTTATTTATTTATTTAAATTAATTAAGTAACTATTATAATAAGAATTAGATTGAGCACACATATATACGGTCTAAAACATAATAGGTCAATTCTCTCTCTCTCTCTATATATATATATATATATTCTATATAAGATTAATATGAAAAGCATGGATCAAATAAATGAATGATGCTTTTATTTTATTTTTTTAATACACTTATGTTTTCTTTCTCTGTTCAAATATGTGTCATTATACATACATCAATTATTTTTATTATAAAGAATGGAAATGAAATGAAGTATGCAATAGGCTCTAGATAACACATTTATGTGAATGGAGTTTTCTCAATTAACCAATCAGAATAGCATATTCCCTCCTATCAATTTGTAATTTTAACCTCAAAAAAAAAAAACAGGTCCAGGCCGCCTGACAGGCCTAACAGGCTCACTATCAGGCCTGAGCCTGGCCTAATAAAATAAACAGGCCTTTTTACAGGCCTAAGCCTGATCTGATACCTAAATAGGCCAGGCCAGGCCACAGGCTCCTGACAGGCCGCCTGGCCTATTTCCACCCCTACCTGTTAGGTTGTTCTGTATATGATATTCTCGTTTGAAGCTGCTTGCTCTTGCCATGTTTCCACCAACATGACTAAACTTACCAAATAAAAATCAAGGTAATTTTTTATCTGTTTACGCGCCCACACACACACCCACACATATCTCTATGTATATATGTGTGTGTGTTTTATTGCTTTTATATTCTAATTCCAATTATATTTTAATTTCAATGAAAAAGCTAAAACCGAAATTTCCTAGAAGCATTAAAGACACTAAGCGCGCAACCTTTAAATCATTATTCGTATGTCTATTTTGAAAATGTCACGGATTTATGTTTATTAGATATGCTTCTTGTTAATTGTTATTTGTTGGTCATCTGATCTTGATCTAAGAGCTATTAGAGGGGTTTGTTATGTCTCTAAATGGGGAGAAGAGTCTCTCTATTTTCTTTCCCATCTTCTTTCCTACTCTTTTCTTTTTATAATTACTAGATCAACATATGAATGGTTGAAATTAATTTTTTTATAAAATTATTACAAAATGTTTGATTATCAAAAGAAAAATAATTAAATAAATAATGGCTATATTTTGACATGAATTGTTTAATAATGTAATAAAGTAAATAAAAAATATTTTGTATAAAGTCAAATATAAACCATTCAAATATTGATATTATGTTTAGAAAAAGAAGAGGAGGGATAATATAAAGAGAAAATAAGAGAATCATCTTCTTTTTCCTTATTTTTGGTAACAAGAGAAAAAACCCCTAACCCAAAGAGAATCATTTTCTTCCCGCTTTTTTTCCTAACAAAATCCTTTTCACTTTGTCTTCTAAGTTTATAATTTTTGTCATAAACTCTTTCTACTAATTGCATATAGTAATGAGATTTTTCATTAAGGGAGAGATATCCAATGAAAATGATTAAAATATGTGTTTAACAACTTCACTAGTTTTTTTTTTTCAATTTATACAAATGAGTTATCTATTTCTTATCTTTAAAAAATACTTAATGACTAAATTTCTGATAATTTACTCTGATAATTATGGTTGTACCGTAAACATAGTGAATATGAACATATTTTAGTAACATCCTTTGACATATCACTTCACAAATGTATTCTCTCTTTTACTCAAATAGGATATTCATCAATATTAAGACAGCTAATATGCAACTGCTTGTTTCTAGCAATGTTATGTTTTATTACTTGCACTTTGTTCTTTTGGCCAGAAACAACTCAAACGATCAGGGATAAATGGCAACATCGACAAAAGCTATCACCCTTGATGAATTTTATCAAGTTTATCTGAATGAAAAGGTAGAACTATGGACTCCAATAGATCTACAAATTGATCCTGATAGAGAAGAAGTATTGATGGACAAAATAAAAAAATCTATAAATGTACTTGAGAGTTCTCAATTTTATCAGAATTTTCGAGATGAGGTACAAAGTTCATTGATTTCTGAACACATACAAAGAGTTTTAGGATTAGGGTCAAAGATGAAAATGGTGATTTATGGTATTGGCTGTATTGAATTGGATGAGGAAGCTAAGATGCAATTTTGTCTTGCACTATTAATGAAAAAAGATTTTAATTGGATTGGAGATAGAGAAGTATTTGATCCAATTCTTTCAGCAACTGAAATTCGAGTTCTAAAATCTTTTGGTTGTTCTGTCTTATTCTCCAACGAACATGGAAGGAGGCAAGTCACAGAACCAACTATGTTCTTCATGCCACACTGTGAAGCAGTGTTATACAACAACCTCTTACGAGCAAATTGGAAACCAAGTCTATTACATAATGTTATCATCTTTGGTAACAGCTTTGATCGTTATACCAATCATACTCCAGAGTTTTCAAGACATTTTCCTTCAAATGATCCAAGGAAAAGAAACTTAGATATTTGGCTACACATAGGTCATATGTTGGCTGCTCAATCATTTACAAATGAGTTAAAAATGAGAACAATTACTTATGACCCTGACCACATTAGTCTAGATGCATTTCTCCAACAAGACTACGAGGTTTCCCTTTTTGGTTTAAGTTGGCATTTTTTCAACCCTCTCACAGAGCCAAGGATGCAACTCATGAGAGAGAAGGCAAGGATGCAATTGATGAGAGACGCTTATGGTGCGTTTATGAGACTGGAGGATTTTTGGGGTCTACCTAAGATAAAATTGGGAGAGGGAGACCGACTTGTAGTATTACCCTGTAAGAAAAAGTATTTGGCCAACAGGAACCCATCGCAGAAGGAGGAATGTTCCTATACTCATCAGAAAGCGAGAATCTCAACCCATACATCTCCTCGTTATATTGATGTTCCAATGGCTGTCGGTTTATTGGCTTCTGTTGTTTGTTTTTTCACCAAATTAAAACGCCCTAATCCCTTCCGTTAATGGCTGAATCCAGAAGTTCACTGTGGTAGCTTTGGTGCTCCGTCATTGCCTTCCTGTTGGCTGCGGCTGGTTGTCCATTTGCTTCCATCGTGGCAATTGCTGCATTTTTTTTCTTTTCTTTTTTTCAATTAAATTTGTTGCGGTTTATTTGAAGTGGGATCTCCTGTCAAGTATTTCAGTACATAAATATTATTATTTGCTGTAAATGCCACTATTCCTTATTGCTAAAAACCAAATAAAGGTCAGGGTGATATTTGTTCTGCCGCAATGATGAGCTTTTTGTTTAGTTGCATGGCATGTGAATTATGGGTTAGTTTTTTGAACTAAAGTGAATCTCAATAGTGAAAATTTTGGACCCTTTGTTGTCAATATTCCTTATAGCAATAAATTAAAATTGTAATAATATTACTTCTTACTGTTTAAAAGCTAAGATTAATTATCATTAGAATAGTTATGCTAATCGTTAACATTTTTAATAGTAGGGAATAACATTGTCATTGTTACGATTTTAAACTTTCTCAACTAACTTCTTAAAGTAGAAATCGGCTAGAAGAAATGCCTATTATGAAACACTATACCAGGGGAAGCGTATTGATAATTTAAAAAGAGATATCCCAATCATCTCACATATACACTGTTCTCAGAAGAAATCAAGTTCTTTATCTCCATTGAATGTTCATCATCTGATATATGGAGGGAAAGACGAAGATTTGTAATTAAAGCTTCTTGTTCCCAACTTAAAGGTCCTGAAGCATGCAATGCCTCAATTATACAGCGATAGGCATGCAACTCTAGCCTATGGATTTCCACTTCCACCTCTTCTTCTGAAGAAAGGAAGCAATTTCCTTGCTCATATCTACAATGGCAGGCAGATTCAGCATCACTAGTTGCAACTTCTAAATCTTCAATAGGAACTGCAGATACAGTATAGCGCAATTTATTCCAACTGCCTCCAGTTACACTACAGCTACCAACAGAACTTGAGATACAATCATCAATGTACCTCCTTCTCTCTTTATCAGTTCTAGAAAACTCACATTTTCTGTTGTTCGGAGAACCACCTCTGTGTTCTCTCAGTAGTGTAGGTGGATTTGAAACTCTCGCTCTATGACATGTGCTTTCATTATCATTTGCCCTAAACTTCTGGAGAGGTTCAGTATATAACTCCACATGTGGATGGTTCCTTCGCTTCAATGTCTTAGAAGAACCAAGGTGAGAATTCTGATTATTCCTTCTTTTCTTGTCATTAAGATGGTAATGGTCAAAAGTTTGTTTGGTCTTTGTGGCTGTTTTCTGAGCTTGGGCACTGACCATTGAACTAAGCCCTGGAGCAAGTTTTTTGTAACATTTTCCATTCTCACAGCTGGAATTACCCTGCAGAACAATTAACCAATATTTAAGCTTACAGCATGAATGATCTACAAACACTGATACAAGAAACAAATTGCGAAGGCTGCTTTTTATTTTGCATTAATTAGAGAGAAGGAGAATCAAACAAAGAAGCACCATTGAGAACATAAATTGACAGTTTCTTTGAAATTTCCACTTGTTATTATTGGTAAACACAACGTAGTGAATAAATTGAAATTCAAAAGATGTAAAGCCAACCGATCTGTATAATTCAGGAAACTGAAATTGTTAAGGAAGATGATAAGCACTACAGCACCTTCAAAAGGGAAAATGAAGGTCAATAAAAGTTACCTTTCCAATCACAATCCACTCTTCATCTTGCCAAAACTGTCTGACCCGGATGTCAATTTTGTTCACCATAAATTCCAAAGAAGATCCAAGCAGCCTGACCAAAACGTGCTTTCCCTCAAGAACCTTCAAAACCGCGGCCATTGACCAGGAAATTTTTTGACGAACCTCTACCAAATCACCTGACTCCCAATCCTCAGTGACTTCAAACACAGGAGGACGTGGTCTTATGGCTTTCCTAGGCACCCTCGCTACAATTGCCTCACCACTAGTACCGTCATCATACCCATCATATCTAATGGAGTAAAAGTGGCCATTGCCCCAGATAATCTCTGCACATCGCCATGAGCCAGAAGGCACCTCTGTTTTGCATAATACTTCTACCTTAGTTCCTTTCTTGAATCTCATGCTTGCTAATATATTGCTGCCAAATTTCAATCTAAAGACCTGTTGTTCAAGAAGACAAACCAAACTTAAGGATTTTATGACAGACAAAATATAAATTTAAAAATTCAGTTCAAAAAATTGTCAGCATGAAAAATAGGTAGTAAAGGTGAAACTTGATCAAACATGTAGGGGCCATGGAATAGATTACAATTAATAGTCACCGTAAACCATAGAAAACGAAGAGCGAAGTATATGAAGAAAACTATAAAATTCAAAATTAAGACGATCCGTTGATGATAAGAGTGCTATTGATCAAAAGAATATTGGCACAGAGCAATTTCATATCACTGAATGAAATGTAGAATCAGGAGGGAAAATTTAATCAACTGAGTTCCACGCCAGTAATTTGGTTGAGTAAGGGGTTTTCTTTTCTTTTCTTTCCTTTTTTTTCTCTTTTTGGAGGTTCTGTGATGTTAGAAGAAAGCAAGCAAATAAATCCAGGAAATAACATTTAATACACCAGGCCAAAGGAAAACAGACGACAGAATTCGGATTCTCTTTCTCCGTTTTCTCAGCAACCAGACACGTAAAAAAATGGTTTCAAACATTCAGAAGAACAACTCGTATAGTCGTATGCAGCAACAATTAAAAAAAAAAAAAATGGAGATCAACGATATAAATAAATAGTTCGCTAATACACACACACACACATATGCATACACATAAATAAACAGAGTAGAGAATGAAAGAGCGCAGATTGAATTAGTATGAACGGCGCCATGAGATGATCGGAATGGTAAGAACGGAGAAGAAATCTCACTGACCTTTATGCTTGTTCCCGAGCAGTGAAGACGATCTTTGCTCCTTGCCTCCGTGTGTTGTGTGGATCCATGCCCAAAGTTGAAATTGAAATTGAAACTGAAACGGCATGATGATGAGAAAATCAGATTTACCAATTTTTAGTGAATTATCTTAAATCAAAAATAATTTATTTAGAAAAAAAATGGGGGAAAATCTCCCCTTAGGAATTTTATTGATGAGAGGGGCTTGATAAAGTTATATATATATAGAAAATATTGGTATTCTATAAATTTTACACGTATGGAGTTTATATTCTGATCCAACTCTTTCTCACCAATAAAAATACAAAATGTGCACTCTGTAACTTTTTCTCAATGTTTTCTTTCATTTAAAAGATTTTTTTAATATTTAAATATAATTCTTAATGTTTTCTTTTGAAGTGATATAAGTGAAAACAAGAATCATGAATTGAATAGAGCCCGAAAATTTCGGCCCAAAAAAAAGAATAGACCCCTAAAATCAAGGCCCAAAAAAAGAATAGAGCCCGCAAAGTAAATCACATTCTCATTGATAATTGATAATAATTTATAAACAATATGCTTAATATAAAAATTAGTTTAACTTTTAATTTGATTTTAAGTATAAAATTTAAATTTATTTTATCTCTCATATTTATTTATTTATTTAGAATAGTTTTTGTAGTACTGACATACTTACATATGTTAAAAACTTTATCAAATAATAATTCTAGCTAATACACATAATTAATATGAATATTCTTAGGAAGACAACACTTATTTATTACAAATAACTAACTTAACAAATTTTTTTAATTTACTCAAATTAGTTAATTAGTTTTTATATTAAGGTCATAAGTTTTATTTTTTTGGCCAACTGTAAGTTTTATATTATTTATTGATATTTATCAAACATAGTGAAAGCCCAAATGGTGAACGGGGTCAGATGGGACAAAATTAAGGTTGGCCTATGGCACAATCAACTAACCAACTCCAACTGGTAATACAAGAGAACCAGAGCAGTAAGCCTTGCACTGCTTCTGTTTAGAATAATAAAAGTAATTTGTTTCCTTTTCCACCACTATCAAGTCATTGCTGTTAAAAGCCATATCCTAGGGAATGTAATATAATAACGCCAAAATAAAAAAAATCGACTTGCGTTAAGTAATTTTGCATTTTCCTCTGAGTGTTGTAAATTTTTTTTAGTCACATAAAACCATGAATTGTATGGGATCTTCAGTGACAGGGATGATGATACGCCAGAAGCATGATACTACCTCCGGTTCTTAATATAAGACCTTGTTTGACTTTTATTTTAATCCTAAATATAAGATCTCAATCTATTTTGTCTCCTATATTTATCTATTTTTTTCCAAGATAATCCTTCTAATAATAATAATTCTAGATAATAAACTTAATTAGTAAGGATATTTTAAAAAACACATCTATTCATTATAAATAACCAACTTAACTAAGTTTCTTAATCTTCCCAAATTAGTTAACTAGGTCTTATTAGAACTACAAGTTAATCCAGCATGATACTCCACTTTGGGCACATGAGGAGTAAGCAACATCTCAATTTCCCTCTATTTAATTGCCAGACGAAAAACTATTGCTCGAAAAAAACCATTAAACTAAAATTCCCATAAATCGCACATCTAACTTCGTGTTACAAGCAACATCAGAACATGAATATCTTTACACAGCAAAAATGCCCCAGCCTCTCACTGAAAGTTTGAGCGAAAAAGTGGGTGCAACTTTCTTCCTTTTTTTTCCTCGATCAGAATAAATACCGTTGACCCCAAAGAGAAAAGTATGCGTCTCATCTGTTAACAAATCACATGTTCAGTCCTGACGAAGTCAAGAAATAGTTTCTATAACCTAAAGCATCAGAGGGTAGGTTATAAAACACTGATTCCAACTTCTAATTGCTTCACACCAAAAAAGAAAAAAATAAATAAATCAAGTGCCACAGAATCTACCTTAAATATTGTTCCCACTTCTCAGAATAAGGAATCATCACTGTCATTCAATGTAGTACTTGTTTTTGAAAGATTTAAGAAGCTTGCCGGAATGCTGTTGAATATCACACTCAAAATCAACTTCCATCAACCGATGGTTTTCCTTTGAGCGATCCATGAAGAAAGAAATGCTTAAATGATCACCTTCACTGACATGGAGAGTAGGATGCAATAGGAAAACCTGTCAAATAGTTCAGACCGTAAGATGACAATTCCCTATAATATGGAAGTGGATAAAAGGAACAGGCACCATGCAACTGATTCCGGAGAGCTTGAGAAACAAGATACCATGAAATAGCTATAAACATGGACTTGAACAACCAATTGAAGGGCAAAGAAAAACCCTGTTAATTAAAGAAAGTTTATCTCTCTTTCAATAAAAGTGATTAATTATGAAAGTAAGGCAGCTGTTTTATAGAGCAAATAAAAAAAGGCAATCTGCTCCTTCATTGATATTCCAGCTGTCAAAGTTATGAAACGATACTAAACAGAATGACAACAATTGACCCCACAGACAAATCAAACACCAACACGCAGGTGTAGTATGAACCTGTTGGCCCCAGTGAGTGCCGTAGTCTACACTAGGAGCTGTTGTTAACTCAATCTCCCATTCAGCTGGATCTTCAACTCTTCCCTTGAGAATGAAAACAGGAAATAACAATACATATTAAATTTGAGAGCACTAACATAACAAAAGGAGACGCCATAGAATAGCTTACCCGAAAATGAACATCAAACCACCCTCCAAACCCGCAAAGCTTTGTGTTTTCTGTGGTTATTGACGAAAATTTTTTTGATCTAACTTCCTTTATATCAGCCACAGTAGCAGTTAAACAATCGATCTCCTTTATTACAGCAGCTGTCCTATAACATGGTTTGGTTGAAGGTTGTTCCACATTGATGTCTACAAAATCATAGAGATTTAGGTAGGCAAGGAAGAAGAACATAAATCAGTATTACATGAAAACAAAAATGATAAAGATAACAGAAGCCAATTTTCGGGAAAAAAAAAATCGGCAAATCTAACTGGCAAAATCCATCTATTTAGGAAACCAGCTCATAAGAAAGGAAATTCATCATTTAACTAGCAGATACTTCAACCATGCAATTCGTTGAGTAAAATAATATTGCCAAACTTAACTTATATGCATATGATAAAAAAAAAAAAAAAGTACAATCAAACGTAAGAATTACAGTAGAGATGGTGGGATATCCAAACACGCTAAAACTTTCAGTTACTTAATTGTATGCGTCAAATCCAAATTGCACCAATATACCTGTAGATAGTATTTCCTCTGCTCCTCCGCAAAAGGCTTTGTTAGAACACTCATATCAACACCATAATTTGTATTCGTTTCATCAACAAAGTTGTGCCAATCATCCATAGCTGAATGGTAATCACCCATTTTGTGATCTACTAACCCAGTCCTAATAGGTGCAATCCACATGCGAGCATGACTGGGATACCTATTACACTAAAGTTCGTCAAATAACCAAATCCAAACATTATACCTATAAGCCAACAATGAATTACTTGAGGCAATAATGCTTACGCAGCAATGATAAGTCATGTATATATCTCACAATTGGTAAAGCAAGAAAAGAGCATTGAAGGCACTACATGCTAGATTACCAAGCTATAACACTCAACAAATTACAATTAAATGGCAATGATATATGCCCCACATCAACTGAGGAAGCTACACAGAATTTGAGTTATTTAATTGTAAACAATTAAATATAGAGCTTGAGATTTGAGTTTTACTTTTAGAATTAAATGATGGCATCCTTGAGCCTAAATGTTATGGAATCAATCCAGAGATTTAGAGACTAGGAATAATTAAGTGGTTCCTGTTAGCAGTATTAGCAGTTTCATTAGTACTTGAGACGTCAATGGAAGAAAGTGAAGTGTTTATGCATGTAAAGTAACAAGCAGCCGAACATTGATTCATGTAAATGTATAGATACTTACATCACACCTGTTGGTTTGAGCCAGCGGTCACGAGCACATATTACTGAATCAAACATAGATTCACGCAGAAGAAAATATCCCATCCACTCAGAGATTATCACGTCAACTGCAAGTTGCATGACATTGAAAACTAGCAATGAGCCAATGAAAAATTGACAATGATAAACAGACACCGCCATAAAAAGAAAATTCTGAACTTGGATAATCGACTAAGCAAAGTGGCAAACTGTGCTAACCTTTCTCCGGCAGAGTTATATCTTCCATTGAGCCCTCAATTACTTCAACCAAATGTTGAAGATTATTTGCTTTGACAAGATTACGTGCATGTTCTGCCATCTTAGTTGCTTCAACTGCATATACTTTCCTTGCTCCGGCCTGTGCTGACCATATCGCAAGAATGCCACTTCCAGTTCCCACATCCAAAACAGTCTTCTCAACATTTAAATCACTTAAGTCAGCCCAAAATCAGTCCCAGATAAAATTATAAATAACAAATTTAATTAATGTTGCCTGCTTCAGACAGAACAAACAACCCAACAAAGTTCCTCTTGGTAAATTATTACTACATGCTAAAGGTGGAAAGAAAATTTTTATTGTTCTATTGTTTTAGAAACTCTCGCAAGTCTTGATTCCTTAATCCATTCTCACGAGAGGAGACAAATAAACAAAAACCAAACACATTGCAATATGCAGTGTCGCAACAATATAGCTAGGTAAGTGTTGTTCATCTTGTTCATTTTCCAAACTACAAACCAGCAAAACTTCTTCCATAACCGCATCAAAAGAAGTCGACCAATGGTTTGACATACTTCGACTACCAATAAATGAGAGTGCAGAGGAGCAATCAGCTTGTCCTCTATCCAGACGAACCAACTAAACATAAAATAACGTTCAAACCTTGCCACGGAAGTGATGCTTGTTCTGAAAAATAGCATTGAAGTAAGCGTCCATGCGAACCCGATCGGAGAGCATATCCTTCTGGTGATATAAAAAGGCATAGGTGCAAAAGTACTGAGCATAATCGACGCCCTTGTCCACCGGATGAGTGCGGCCATCAACGGCGGCGCCGGCTGAGCTGCCCATCTCACTCAGTGCTCCGCAACAAAGAATGAGCCTTCAATTTTCTTTAGGGCAGTTTTGGTTTGGCGGTAGGCTTCAGCCTTCAAGTGATCTACGGTTTGTTTATGTCGTCTCTCTCTGCCTTCTCAGCATAATAAATAAATAATTAAATATCGGCGTCATGGTCCGACCTTTTTGTGAGTGATATCGGGAAAGAAAAAGGACGGAAATATTAATTTTATTATCCGTTAATTTTTGTTATATTATTTGTCCATGTTTTGAAATAAACTTTACAAGAAGTTTTCTTTCTTATTAATTCTGTAATTTGTAATTTATATTGAAATGTTGAATTGAACATTAATAGGGATAAGTTATTTATGCTAAAAACTTTAAACTTAAAATATTCTATATTTTTTCATATTAATCATGCGTACTCTTTTTTGCAAACAATCAAGTGTATTTTTATTTTAAATTCTTAAAAGTCAAAATATGTTTCATCTTCAAGGAATGTCCCTTTGTTGTTTTCATAAATGCAGCTTATCCATTGATGGTCCATTTTAATAATTTTAAGTATTTTTTTTTTAATATTTGCTTCAATCCAAGTAGTCTGAAAAAGAAAAAAGCTATATGAATGCAAAAGGAAATGATTCATGGGGCTTCCTTCGGATTATGTATCATTCATGTTGCTTAGTTCTCATTATTCAGACAACAAAAGCTGGCAGCCTCCTTTAGAATATAGATTTAGAATCTTAATAACTTCTGTTTGTTCTCTTGTCTTACTTGTTTTCTGATTCTTTTGTACTCTGCTCTAATCTAAACTGTCTGATATGCAATTTGTTTTTGAAGCGAATAATCTCTTTTCCTTTATTGCTTTTATGTTATATTAACACATGTAAATGTAATTAATTTTGTTATTCTTAATATATGAGTTTTTCAATTAATTTGGAGAGATTAACAAGATTAAATAAAAGAGTTAACTATAATAAAGAATATATATATAACATGATATAACATTAGACGAAATTAGTTTTAAAAAAATAATAAAGATGAGAAATAAAAATAGATTAAATTCTTATAATCCAACTTTCGACGGGCTTGTAAATTAAAGATAGGAAACAATAATAGACAGGGATAATTTTATTTAAGACAATATTGAGTATTAAATATAAACATCTCCCTTAATATAAATTTGATTCTTAATTTATCATACTGTAAGAAACTAATCCTTCAGTTAAATCAACCCTTGGTTACTACTATCTCATGTCCTTAATATAAGACTTTATTTGATTTTATTTTAATCCTAAATATAAACTCCAATTCACTTTATCTCTAATATTTATACATTTTTTTAAGATAGTCCTTCTAACAATGGTGGTTCTAGCCAATATACTTGATTAACAAGAATATTTTAAAAAAGATAACACATATTTATGACAAATACTAACTTTTTTTTTAATCTCCTCAAATTAATCAATTGGTTTTTATAATTAAAATTAGAGATAGCATCTAAGTCTGTCAACACAACACTGATAGCTAAAAACCGAGAACACAAGTACTTTTTTTGCTCGATCCAAAAAGAAGAATTTGTTATGGTTTTTATTAAAAAGACAGAACCTAAGCACTTTAATTTTTTTAAAACAAGAAATGAATTGGAAAATAATTCGCTGACACGTGAGACTAAAACTCCTTGAGTTTGGTGTTTCGACAAAAGACCTGGGAGCTGGGACGTAAGAATTTCTCCTGAAATTTTTGTCGTAATTTTAGGTCAACGAAACGTGGCGCTCATGTATTTAACTCAGCGCTAGATGAACGGTGAAGATTCGCATTCCGTGTCCCCCAACCAGTACACTGTTCCTATAATCGGTAATCAATAATCCGGAAGAGGTCCGAATAGCAAGAGCAAATTGAGCGAAGGTAGAAGAAGCGCGACCTCTCGAAGGATCCGATTTAATCTTCGGAATCACCGAGCAGCAACCAAGGTTTGTTCAAAAAATTACGAATCCCTTCTGGTTGTAATTAAAAATTAGAACTTTGATAGTCTTATGCTGCTCTTTCTTTCTTCTTTGGGAACAGGTTCGCGCAGTTTTGTTTTCAACTGAGCAGATTTGGGTTTAGTGTTTTTTCATATTGGGGATAAATGAGTGTCATTTTTGTCCGCGACTCTTATTGTTACTGCCAGCATTAGGATTTATTGTCAAGTTTTGTTTTCAGCTTCTTTATGGGGTTCGTTCTCTGGGTTTATGTGTTGACTGAAAAATGTGGATGTCTCTTAATTTCAGCACTAAGATTGCCGAGTAGGTGCTTTTGTTTTTGCAAGTAACATGAGCTTCCCTGGATCATCACTTGGTTCTGGTATGTTCTCTGTAGAGACAGTAATATACTCGATGCTTTAGGATGTCTTTTATCAACTGGGGAATCTTTTTGCCAGTATCTGGTATTTATTTGCATGAATGGGCTGTGTTATTCACTTTAGAGTTAACGGAAGGGGAGTAATCGCTTGTCTCTGACTTTCATAATGCTCCGTTACAGGTAAAAGATCTCTTGGCAGAGTCTTTGAGTTTGGTAAAACGCATGTGGTCAGGCCTAAAGGTAAACACCAAGCCACTATAGTTTGGCTACATGGCCTCGGTGATAATGGCTCCAGGTGATGTGGCATTTCCTCTTGCTTTTTCCCCTAACTAATGCCACTCTAAGTTCATGAAAATATGAATGGAAAGTATGTTCTTAAGTTCTCTTTTGTTTTGGTGACAATAGGCTGTGAATTTTTTTGTATGTATTCTGGCAACTTTTCTAAAGCAGTTCCCATGGGATGGGCCCTTTAAGCAGTTTTATTTTCTCTCATATCACTATAAAAGGCTAAAGTAAGATTTTGGTACTTTTAAACCGGATCTTGCTTATTATTGATCTTTCATATTTTCTCCCAATGTATTTTTACTTCTTTCTCTTCTAATCAACAAACGGGTCAGTGAAGTTCAGCACTGAGAGCAACGGGGGACTCGAATATCTGTATGATATGTCTTTTTTAACGCCATTCAGGTTCCCTTCAACTAGTAATCACAATTTTTTTTTTTTCCTTTCTTCTTTCTGTTTATTTCTCTTTCCTTTTGATTTTTTTAAAATTGATCATATTTATTATTAATCCTTTCTCCCCACATTTCAATTCATTTTCCCTTCTTTTCCTTCTATCTTCTATGGAACTGTAAACTTCAGTGTAGAGAACAGCAAGGCTCAAATATCTCTTTGATATGTCCTTTTGTATCCCTGTCAGGTATACAAGTATGGATTTCCTTTTTGGAAGAAAAAATCATTGCACCCTTGACAGCGTCTGTCTCTCTATGTGGCAACCTTTACCTTCTTCTTCTTAGTACACTTCCTTCTTCCTAATTAAACATGTCTCGGCATCTAGCATTGCTTGTAAATTCGTTGTATAGTCAAGTATATGCAGCCATAGCATCAGCATTTGAATTTTCTTGGCACCCATTGCATCCCTCCTTTAAGTCATCATTTTTTTTTTGGGGGGGGGGGGAGCAGGCAGAATAGTTAGAGATAAGATGCCTTTAATTCTATCCAATTTATATTCATGCAATTATGACTGAAATCATTGTTTTCTGCTTTGCTTTTGACAGTTGGTCCCAGCTATTAGAGACTCTCCCACTTCCAAATGTAAGGATTATGGAATTGTTAAGAAGAGGACTGAGATGGCCGCATAGTTCCTTATCATGTGAAATTGTGGGATAATCTCCGTACTCTTGAATGATTTCATGTTGTTAATTTATATGCTACAGATTAAATGGATCTGTCCAACAGCTCCGACTCAACCGATACGTGTATTTGGTGGCTTTCCTTCTACTGCTTGTAAGTTTGAGCTTGCTACAATACAATTATACCTATTCACCCTTATTTTTCAAGTATTATAAAAAGACTTATTTGCAGCCATTTGGCAAGTGCATTATAATGGCTTCTTGTTGGTATGATTACTTAATGTTTCTCATGTTTATTAGAATTAATGAAGTTAAAAAAAAAAAAAGCATTCTTGGAGTCAAAGCAAAGCTTTAGGATTAAAAACTGATGGTAACCTAAGATTTGGTCTTGATGATTTGAACTGCTTATCTAATATCTGACAGGGTTTGATGTGGGAGACCTCTCGGAAGATGCTCCTGATGATGTAGAAGGTTTGGATGCTTCAGCTGCTCATGTGGCAAATCTGTTGTCAACAGAACCTCCTGACAGTAGGTTTCTCGTGCAACATCATAAAATTTACACTTTTTTTTTTTAATTCTGAAGTTTTTCTGTAACTAGTTAGATTAGCTGAACTTTGCGACAAAATGAATGTCCTATTAACAGGTTGTCATGCTTAAGCCCAACTTTTACACTATGTTTCGTTTTTTTTTTCTTTTTTTTTTCCCTTCCAAATTTTGTCAAATCATCCTGGACTGGAGGTTGGCTTGGTTCTGATGTCTGGTTCTAATAAAATACTAAAAAATGCAAGGAAAAGAAAGGAGTAGCGCAAGCAACAAGCCATGTAATTCTTTTTCTAGATTTCTGGTCTCAGGGTAGCAACAGTGAATTCTTCTAACAAGATTCATTCTTCTTCCAACAGTGAGAGATCATAACCAAAAAACACCAAGTACATTTCCTTTTTACTGTCAACAACAAGTAGTGTTATTTAAGGATAGTCATTTATAGCATCATAGATTTTGTATTGCATATAAGTTGGCAATAGTAAATGTTATATGTACTGTGAAGTTTGGCAGATGAATTAAGTCTTCAAATTGAGGGCTGTGGCACTATTAGTGGTGTCTTCATATTAGATAATAATGATTGTCTTTGTAGTTTGTTTTTTTGTCAACAGACAGCCAAAAAAAGGCTATTATATGTGTTAATATTATTCTACGTTTGTTGTATATGGGACAGTTAAACTTGGTGTTGGAGGGTTCAGCATGGGAGCGGCTACTGCCCTTTACTCTGGAACATGTTTTAGTGTTGGAAAATATGGGAATCACAAACCATATCCGGCCAACCTGAGTGCGGTAGTTGGTTTAAGTGGCTGGCTTCCATGTGCAAAGTATGGCCTTTTAATGCTGCTCCACCTC